ACCCTGGCCAGGCGAGCCTGCCGAGCCCGCTCGGCTTCCAGCCGGTGCGCCTCATCTCCGCGGCACGCCGCTCGCCTCGCCGACCGGCGCCGCGCCCCCGCGGCCCCGCGCGCCTTTGCCCGGACGCTCGCCGCAGGTGTGCGGCACCGAGCGGGCGTTTGTCGTGACTGACGGCGGGCTGGAGTCTGTCTAACCAGGGTGGGCTGCGGGAGCGACGCGGCGCCCTGGATCCTGGGGCCTTGCCGTACTGGAACCGCACCTCCCTGGTCAACATCAACGGCGGTCAGCGTTTTGGCCCCAACGCTCGATATATCTGAGGGGGTTGGGAAGCACGATTGAGTGTATGTGGCCGGCTTTCGTTGCGACCGCGCGCCACGTGCATCGGCGCCCGACATTCGCCGCCCCGGCGTTTGCAGGCTGTGGGGAGCAGCATGCATGATGGAACCCCGGTTGCTGCCACACGCCCATTCGCACGTCCGTCCTGCGCTCTCTTGTTTTTTCCCCAATCATATATGTGGGCCGATTTGCTGTCAGGTCTCAATTTGCAAAACCTGCGACCCCAGCCGTGTCTTGGCAGCTCTACACACTCAGCTGGTGGGCTGCCTCAACCGCTCTACTGTACAATGTATGACTCCGGTAGTGGGCCTGGCCGCCCGGCCGCAGCCCTGTTCGCATCAGGAGTACCAGTCTTTCACAGCGCTGCATGGCCTGTCGTCGGACTGCACCAGCACAAGGGGCGACCCCGGCGTCATTAGCCCTGCATGAGCGGATGGTAGGTCGGCGGTCAAGGGGTGGTGGCGCTCTGCGGCTGAGAGCTGCGGGCAGCCAGAAGCGGCCATGCGCGACACTGGGCCACATGCGCATACTGCGGACGTGTGCTTGTCCACAAATGTTTGGACACGTACTGCGGATTGATCAAAACGAACCTGGCCAGAGCTGCACGCAAGGGTGCCGGCTGAGACTAAGGTAACATCAATGCAAGGCCGAGGAGGTTGCATGCATGCTACTAACTTGTGTGGAGCAAATTCTGCCTCTCCCTCAACGGCTGCCCTCCTTTGATGTATCAAAATCCAGATTATACCACACACAATGCACCGCCCCCCATCCTTGTTGCCCGCCGAATTACCCTATGATGGTACAACAAAATGACCAGCACCTACACAAGCGGTCGGCAAGATATGAGAGGGGAATCACTGTACATGCTGACTCACATGCCCAACATAGCGTGATTATTGATAGCTAGCACGGCAGCTGTCTTCCTGCATGCCTGCAAGCAAATCAGCCACATCGTGCCAAGACAGCCTCCTCCGCTTGCCGCGGACAGCCCCGAGAACCTCATCAACTCAGCCACTCCAACGCTTGGGGGTTGTGCAGCGCAGTGTCGCAAATGCAGCAGGGCGAGAGTTGAATCAGCCGTGCAGGTTGCGTGAACGCTGATAGAGATGTTTGTGGGGGGGAGCTGGACGCAGCAGCTATCAATAGGGCCAATTGTAGCAGATCTGAGGTCATGCGTTGCGTCCAAGCGGCCATCACAGCCTCTCTTCGCTGCGCTGCAATCCTTGGCCAGAAGGCGCGCCAGAATGTTCAATACATGCCAGTACAACCAAAGATTGATGGCAAGGATCACGGACAGAGCGGGGCGGACGCAACGCAGCGCACTGCAGCAAGCGGCGCCACTGCCTGCAGCGGCGCTGCGCCGGTCAAACCTGGGTCAACCACAGCACCAGAGTATCATAGGTGATCATCACGTGTCATCCAGTCGCCACGGCAAGGCACATACAGCTCTTGTGGATCCATGCGTTCGTTCGAAGCGGCCTTCCAAGCGACCTTCCAGCAGAAACGAAAGTATGCCCCTCGCCATTCCGCGACACGCCTACAAAAGGCACAGCCCTCATGCTTTTTATCACAATCTAAAATCACACACAATCACAAACACACACACAATCATCATGGCTCCGCCCCTCTCATGTTGTTGATCTCATCAACGCAACGACGACCGTCAAGCAACACCGGGCAACACCTACACGACTACAGACCACGTCTTCACCATGCCGCGCCTGGGTCGTTGACTGCACCGCACGCCCCAGTTGCGGCAGCCTGCTGCGGCGCACCCGCTAGTATGTGCTCTGCACAGAACGCAGCTGCATTGCCCCGCCGGCAGAGCGACACACCCGCTAGTATGTGCTCTGCACAGAACGCAGCTGTGGCGCTTTGCTGCGGGGCACGCCAGGGCGGCGCACCCGCTAGTATGTGCTGTGCACAGAACGCAGCTGCATCGCCCCGCCGGCAGAGCGACACACCCGCTAGTACGTGATCTGCACAGAACGCAGCTGTGGCGCTCTGTGGCGGTGCAGGCCAGGGCGGCGCACCTGCTAGTATGTGCTGTGCACAGAACGCAGCTGTGTCGCCCCGCCGGTGCACGTGGGAGCCTGTTGGGCGCTGGCGCCACCAAGGGTGGGCCAGCTGCCTGGCAGGTGGTTGTGGGGATCAGGAGTGCGGAGGTCACAACCTTAAATCCCTTCAAGGGAACCTGATCGACACGTGGAGAGGACTCATGCACGCCCCTGGAGCATCTCTGCTGCCGTTAAGTAAGTCCGGGGGCTTTGCTTTGCGGGGCTGCCTTGTTTTTCCATCGCAGCCGGCGTTCAAAGCGCCGGCTTGTTTGGTCCATCACTCCTGGCTGCTGCAAGGCAGCGCTCACGTCATCGGCGTTTTGCTGACGGGCTGCCGCCGAGCCGGGCAAGCTCAGCCTAGATTCCTGACAGTAATACTAGCATACACACAAAATGCCATGCAGCATTCGTGCGTGGCCCCACGCGCCCCGAGCTCGCATTCCCTGGCATTTCTGCAGAGGCCGGTGGGGGTCTGAACCGCCTGCATGCGTACCCCGCCCCCACCGCCTCCGTGCTTGCGTGCATCAGGGCGAGCACGAGCGTGTATCGGGGTGCAAAGTCACATTTGACAATTTTCAGACGCCACGGGGTGTGTTGGTTACCACCAACGTGTCTGACCTACAAAGTCGCTTCTCACCACACGAACACCCTTACACACACACACACACACACACATGCGCGCGTGCACACACATGCCTATTGCAAAAGTAAATGATATCCAGTTTCTTTACGTTTGTTGCTGCAGCAAACGGAAGTGAAAAGGAAAGCAAAGAGGGCGAATTGCTTCTGCCCTGGACCCAAAACCCGCCGCCTCAGAAAGCTGCCCAGCCCTCTCCCTCTTGCCGCTGCCCCCCTGGCGCCTCCTGCGAGCCGGCACCCTGGCCGTCGTCCGCGCCCCCGCCGCCCGCCCGGCTGACCCTCAGCGTGCCGCCGCCACTGCCGGCCCCGTCGCCGCCCAGCGGCCCCGCGTCCTCCCCGTCTTCCGAATCAAAGGGGTTGCCGCTGCGGGCCTTGGGGGGTGCGGCAGCGCGCGCGGCCGGCCCCTGCAATGCGGAGTCTCCCGGAGCAGAAGATGACGCGGGCGGTGGGGGCGGCGCCAGGACTGGCGGCTGGAGTCGTAAGGTGCAGGCGTGTGTAAGGGGGGAGGGGGTTGTCAAACACGGGTGTGGGTGTTTGGGCCGAGTGGTTTATGTGGGGGGTCGGAGTGCATGACCTGGTTTGGCACAGCGGGCCAGGCACAGCGGCGCTGCCCTCGCGCACCCCCACCCCTGGAAAGCAGGCCGCGGTTCGCGGTCGGCGGCGGCCACCCACCGGCCCGAGCGCGCCGACCGGCGGCGGCGCGAGGGGCGCAAGCGGGACCGACGGCGCGCGCTGCAGGAAGCCGCCGCCGCCGCCGCCGCCGCTGGCGCCGCCGCCGCTGCCTCCAGATGAGGGCCGGCTTCCGCTCTTCTTCAGCTCGATCCTGGTGGGTTTTGACAAGCAGGTCGCCAACGCCTGAGAGCAGATTTGCGGCGGCTCGCACCCCGCTTTGGCACGTCCATGCACCCCCTCATGCAGTAAGCGCGGAGCCATCCGCCGCAGCCTCCCCCTCAAACGCTTGCAGCCAGAGCCCCTTTCTACCACAAACCTTGAAGGTGCCTCAAGCACTCTGCAGCACCATGCAACGTCCATCTGAAATCACGTTTTGGCCAGGAGCACCCCCCCTTGAAAAAATGACGCCCTCACCTAATGGTCTGCCCCTGCCTCAGGCTGAGGTCCCCTCGGTCCTGATACAGCGCCGCCGCCGCGCCGCCGACGGGCGACGCCGCGCCCGCGCGCCCCGCGCCCGCGGCGGCGGCCGTGTCGCGCTCCCGCTGCAGGCGCCGCTCGTGGTCGCTGCACGGGCCGCGGCAACGGTGCGAGAGGCGCAGGAGTGGTTTTGCTCGGGGATAGTTGGGGGTCGTGTTTGCAGGAGGGGTTGAGGTTTTGGTTGTTGCATAACCTGTGAAAAAGGCAAGCAACGCCCTGCGCCGCATGATGCCACACGTTCCTGTGTCTCTCTGTCCCCTGGATTGCGGAATAGGCAGGCATCGCACCATAAGCGAACGCATGCACATCAACGTGCACACGAACACACGTGTACACACACTCTCTCTCTCTCTCTCTCTCCCTCTCCCTCACACACACACACACACACACACCCACAAACAAACGGACCCGCACACACACATGCCCACACACACACACACACACACACACACGCAATCACACACCCTCTGCCTCAATCAATAAAACACATACAAACACACACACACACACACACACACCTGAGCGCCGCTGTGAAGTCGAACGCGTCCCCGCGGTCGTCAAACCCCAGCCCCAGGAACGCGTGGCGCCCCGACTCAGGGTCCACCACCCGCAGCACAAAGTAGCGGCTGCTGTCAACGACAGGCTCCACCGCCGCAGCGCGCTTCCCAAACTCGACCGGGCACCTGCGTGCGGGCGCGCGCCGCCGCGGGGCGCGTCGGTTGCGGGGAGGCGGGGGGCGACGCGAGGTGGGCCAGGGGGGGATTGACCAGACCAGCGAGCGTGTCAGCACTTGCCGCGGCGGCGTCCTGCCCCATGCGCTGCTCAGCCGGTTGCCTCGGGCCGCGGCGGGCGCGCCCACCAAGCAGGCGGCC